TATATATATATATATGTGTGTGTTTGTGTTTGTGTGTGTGTGTGTGCGTGTGTAAAAACAAACATGAATGAATAGAAGATGCTGTTTTATTTATTATCAATAATATATTTTCAAATGTACATCCAGTACAATCCTCGGCCAGCTACAGTAATAAAGAATCATCCTCTGTTAAAAAAAGAAATCATGAATAATAACAAAACGCAATTTCTAAAGCTTTCATTCATCAAAGGCAATAACACTGAGGGTCTCTACTGGACAATATCACTACTCAGCACCAAAAACATGCTTGCATATAGTCAAACCAGCTCATTAGGATAAATTAGCTTGAAGCTGACAAGTCCACAGTCTTTTGGATTAAAGCCGGAGCACCTTTGGTGAACCTGATATATCACAAAGAAATGATTTAAAAGGGCCCTGATATAATCAAACAGTCAGGTATTTTCAAGGTCTGAATAAATTAAACAGCAGAGCATTATTTATTTAAACCTTTATAGAAAATGTTGCATAAATAGCTTTTTCAAGACAGAAGACAGGCATGTGCACTGGGTTTTGGCCTTTTTGTTGACGAAACATTACATTCATAAATATTATGGTTACTTGTATACATATATTGAAGAATCTTATGCAACGAATAACAGCATATGCCTCATTTGCTATAATCCACTGAAATATGTTCAAAAACCTTGGTTTTGCCTTTGAAGCTGGTGGCCAGCACAAAATCACGCTGGTCTGTGGACAGTGCTGTGAATGAGCGTGGCCACTGAACATACACATCCCTGAACTTGATAAATTTCTGGTTTTCCTCATCCCACCTGAAGATCTGGGAGAAAGAATAATCACTGCTCAGAATCAAATAGTGCTGGTCTTTGAACTTGATGGGCTGTAATACTGTGGCGCCACGTGAAGGCAAGCCCTGTACTTCTTCAAAGTGTTTGCCCGTCCACCTCATGACTTTTGAGTCACCGATGTAGCAGGCGAGCGCAAGGTAGGGAACATCATTAATCCTAAAGGCCTTCACGCTGACAATGTCGTCCATATTTGCTATCTCATCATGGAGAACAAACTTCTGGGTGCTCTTGTTCCATTGGTAGATAACAGGAACCTGGGAACGGCTCACGAGTATGAGGACAGATTTGCCATCTAAATCAAAAAACTCTGCATCGGTGTCACGAAACCATTCATGAAGGAACTGGTATGGGTAGAAACCAGTTTCATTCCACTTAAACAGAGTTGTCATTCCAGCTTTGGAACTGTCCACAATTAGGAAGAACCAGTCATCTCCGATCTGGAAGACTTCAATGTCATTCGGCTTGGACACATTAAGCATTTCAACTGCTTGAAATGTGGTGAACTTATTCTGTGCTTGGTCATATTTGTAGACGAGGGAGCCATCGAAGAGTTGGGAGACAATGACAAATGCCTGCTCGTTGATCAGAACAGACCGGCATCCAACAACAGACCGACCTGAAATATAATATATTAAAAAAAATGAAATCATCATCTATACTCTTTCATTTTTATGACATATGACAAATGATTATGGAGTCAAACCTGTGATGTTATCAAAAGGCCTGAATTTAGTCTCAATGTGATCCCATTCCATGATTATGCAGCTGTCTGAATTTGGAACTGCCATAGCGACATATATATCATCTTTGTGAGAGAAGATATCTGCTGACATTGATTGAGTATTCACTATTTGGTACTGAACAAAATCTGAAGGGAAAAAGAACCAGACATATGGAAGCGCATTCATTAATTGTCACTAAACAAGTGTAAACAAATCATATATTTTTTCTTCACACCTTTTCACTGCATTTATCAAGACAATCAATGCAAAAATTCAACATAAAATCTGACATATCTAAGCAACAGAAATTTAGTTACCCGTGGAGACACACTTGCTGTGTTTTTCTGGGACATCCTTTAATAGGACGCCCTTCATGCCAGATGGACTGGCACAGTAAACATCAGAGATCGTGGCATTGGATCGTTTCAACCACAGCATCAGCCACATGGACTCACAGTCGCAATGGAACATGTTCCCACGCAGATCTCTGTTTATTAGACATGAAATGATCAAAACACTCTAAAAACTCTGCAAATAAACAAAATCATATGTGACTGCAATATTATTGTTTCCCAGCTATTTAGCATAAGTGGTTGTCTTGCATGTTGATTGCATGTGCACATTTGTAAACAGTGAACTGAAAAACTCACAATTCAATCAAAGAGCGTAGATCAGAAAAAAGACCCCTGGGTAGTGTTTTTAAATTGTTGTTCGCTAATGATCTGTAAAAACAGAGAGGAAATTAATCAATACAAATGGACAGAAGACTTTACGCAAATGTAATGTACATACATATATTAGATTTCCATATGATAAATATATTGTCATGTGAAGTAAAAACATGAAACCTATTAGAAATGGGAACATTTGGACACACTGTAAAAAAAAATCTGTGACATTTATGGTAAAATACCAGCAGCTGTGGTTGCCAGTTAAAAATCAGAAGAAAAAAAAGAAACCGTATTATGCTAAAGCCTATTTTAGAACCACCAATAACTTTTTGTTACTTTTTAATTTTTTAATATATTTTTGAAAATTGTTCAGAAAATCAGAACTTCACCGTTAAAAATATGGTAGAAACATTTTAGGTTTTACAGACTTAGCTTAAATTCACAATATAAAAACGTATTTCATTAACTGATGTAATGTTAATAAACCAGGATATTGAAGTACTAATATCTGTTTTAAACCACTGAAATGCTGATAACCACCAAAAACAGGTGGTGATAAGAGAGTCACATGATGAATCAAAGCTCATCACAATCAGCTCTTCCAAAAGCTGAGAAGGAAAATACTAATATATATAAATAGAAGGTGCACAGTGTCATTCACACAACACTAAACACCATCATGGTAACACACATGATACTGAAATAATGCAATAAACATTCATTTAACAACATTAGATGTAAGATAAAACACTAATGTACACAACTGATAAGAAAAAACTAAGAAGAAACAGTTATTTTAACGAAAAAAATTAAAATATGAAGTGTCATGCAGGGAATTCGGGGAGTGTCAATTTACAGTTTTTCACTGTAAATTATACAATGACTTTTTCTTTTTCACCTCCAAAAACCGTAATTTTAACAGTATTTTACTGTAAAATTACATTAAATGTAATTACAGTTATTCACCGTATATAGTATGGAAACTTACTGATAACCAATTAACAGGTTTTTATTGTAGCATTTTTACAGTCTTTTACTGTTAAAATCACAATCATTTTTTACAGTGCATATATGTCATGTATATCCATCCTAAAACCTGTCAATACATGTTGTGAATATATAAGTGAATATACTAATAAATAATAAAATATAGAAATGTATTTTTTTAAATTTTTATTAAAAAAAACATAAACGTACAGATTGTTTTTTAGAAGTTGCACATATCAGTAAAATATATATTGTTGACATATATGCTTGCTGAATATAATACCATATAAAATCATCATATAGATATTATTAACATATAAACAAATGTACTGTGGGGATTTCATATATGTTATAAACTTATAAACTTATCTTCATCTACCCAGAGAATGTATGTATGTGAAAATTATATATCGCCTTACCGCAGGTAACAAACATGACAATATCACTCTTGACATATGGCAATATATTACATTTCCATTTGGTTATTTATACAAGTCAGGATGTTTAGGGACTTTACAGTGTACCTTATAATACAATTCAAGACAACACCAATATATCACATAATGTACTGACCATCTGAAACAAAAATATATATTACTTAGCCTACTAAATTAAATGATGCCTACCAGAAACCTGTCTAAATAAATACAACCTAGCTTTTGCTCGCTGTATGCCATATACTTACAGATGTGTAACATCCCGAAGTCCTCTGAAGGCATATTTGTTTATCTCTCCAATCTTGTTACCTTCAATAAATCTGGTTGGAGAAATAAAATAAGACAAAATAGCTATAAAAAGTACTTCAACCAATAACCAATATTCAACCAATAGGGATTTTGATAAAGTGGTCCAGGCATCCAACAAATATATCAGTACTGTAAAGAAGTGAACATTTTTGATCATTTATTTAAATCAATAAAAGCTGTCCAAATACTTACAAATACTCAAGATGAGGAAGCCCTGAGAATGCATCCTCCTTGATTTCAGAAAATGAATTAGAACTAAGGAGACTAAGAAGAGAAAAGATGCCAGAATATGCCAGAAAATTCTAAAACATAAATATGACCAGCATAAAAAAAGAATGCCTTGGATTCAACGTGTTAGTGTTTTATAATGCAGATAAACAGGTACATTTATAAAAAAGTGATGCAGCAGTCACTTACAGTAACTGCAGTGAGGGCATGAGCGAGAACATAGCCTCCTTGATTTCTGGGAAACTGCAATTGACAATACTCCTAAAAGATAAATATAATAAATTAATAAATATAGCTTACGCCACTTCTTTAATTTATTGTTTTGTACCAAACACTACGATGATGCACGTTCAGTTTCGAAACACAAATACAGGCTATATCCCACTATGTTTGATAAAATTATAAACATTTTCGCAAATAAATTGTTAGGCGAACATAATATCACACTTACAGAGAGTTGATGTCACTCGGTATAGTCCGTGGGATGAGAGACGAACCGACGCAAATGATTGAATCTGTCGTACAAGTGCATCCTGAAGGACATTTGAATATTCGCTTTGATCGGGACAGTTGAAATGAACAAACGAGCAGTAAAGTTACCAAAAGACACTTTCGGATGGAAGGTAGTTTATCGTTTGTAAGATCCATGGCTTTGAAGCGGAGTCGAAAGCAAACGCTCCCCTGTCCCGCACAGCAGTGAAATGCAGCACGAAGGACTGACTTCAGAATCAGCAGCTCTGATGCAGTCAGTGCTTTAGACTGTCCCATTAGAGGAGGCATCACGAGTCCACAACAAAATCTCGAAGTAGCCATGTAACTGACAAATCATACCACTTTTTGTTTGTGGTTGTTCTTGCCTTGAGATGCTTTTAAAACGTGCTAATTATATTGTTTTATCACACCTCTTTCTGTTTTTCTCTTTGCTGTTAACTGAAATAAGTTAAATGTCATATCAGCAAAATTGTTGTAATTCTTCTATTTATGTGGAGCGAGTATGAAAATGCACAAATTATCTTGGCAATGAAAGCAAGTGTCAAAGTGGAAAATGTGGTAGGTGACACAGCAGTTCTTTGAATGAATGGCTTCTGTGTCTTGTGTATCAATAGTCACTGACTAATGTACTTTACATTTACTGTAGGCCTAAATTTACATTAATATGAGCTCAAGCTGTATTTACTTTGTCTATGTCCCTACATATTACTAGATGATCCTGTATAAGTTACAACAATTTCTCTGGCAACCAGTAATAAACAGGCCTATATGACTGCAAATAATGGACTCTACAGTATGCATAGCATTAATCATTTAGAAGCAGATCTGATTTCAGCATGTAAGTGCTTTCTGTCTATATGTGACTGGGGGAGGAGCTTAAATTGATGACAGTGAAATAGCCTCTACTCCTACAATCTGTCACATTTAGGCTACTGAAGTACATATGCATAAGTGGTTTTCAACTGGTTTTCCTGCAGACCAAACTCCCAATGCATCAACAGAAAACAAATTGCCATTACAAACTGCAAATGCATAGGTACCTATTTGCTGCATAAAAAAAAAACACGGCAAATCAATACAGACCACCTCATCAGAAATGCTCATCAAAAACTCCCCGTCATCAGACAATTAAGGAAAGTCGAACACCAGTCAGCAGTTTAGTGTTTTTAAACTGCCATTGTGAAGATTGTTCTAACAGTGTCCATCAGTATGGCACAGAAAGGACTCATAGGTAGGCTACTGATCTCCCTTTGGGACATCTAATGCACCAATAAAAAGATTACAATGGATCCATCTCACCCAGCGCATAAAAGAAGCCTGAAATCACCAACAGCTAAAACATCCTGATTAAAGAACACTTTAAACAGCTGTCAGAGTGTTCAATAAACATCTATATTTTAATAGTTTTTTTTAATGTAGATTGCACATTCCATTGTTTAATGTATATTGTACTGTACATCTCACCAGTAGTGATTACTTGCAGATTGACAAACAATACAACTCAGTTTTGTCCTGTTATCCATTTTTATTCTCTATGCCATATTATTATATGCCATTCTATAAATAAACAACTAAACATTATCATATAACGACTTCAGATGATCCACTTTCCAAATGCTTTCCCAGCTCGTTGTCCACTCTCTCCAAACACCTCAACAAGAAAAATCTAGAATGGAATCTTCATTGTGGAAGAGAGAGAGGGCAAAGGCGCGTGCCTGATGACGCAGTCACTCTTTTTGCCGAGTATCATGGGAAAATATCATAGCAGGCTAGCACGCGCAGGAAGAGAGGAGAAGAGCCGACACCTCCGCGGAACGAAACTCTTCCCATGCGTTATATTCCTCGTTAACCTCCTCGAACAAGTGTAAACCGGCGACCAGAAGCCGTCTTTGACTGGCCAGCGTATCACGAAGTGTTCACGGTTGTTGTTGTTTGTTTGGTTTGTCGGCTTGTTGGATATTTAGCGCGTGTCGCTGTCGAGCGAGTTCGCGGAAGAAGAGGTGGGTAGTTAAATGTACCTTTCATAAACCACTACAGGCATCCTCCACTCTTTAATACACCAAATATATTTCGTATTTATATAAAACGACTCCTTGTTTTGCCCTAGCTGAAAATAAAGAAAAAGTCAGTCAATTCCAGGCGATTTAAATAGATACGGCACGGTTTGAAGCCGGTTAAGTTTAGAGGGGACCGTCTTTTCTGCCCGCTAGCCTTTACCATGTCTCTCACCTCTTATACGTATCTGTATATCTACTCTTTGTGTTCCATTAGGTCAACATCGTTCCTTCTTCAGATACTAAAGCCCATCGAGATTACGTTCAGAAGATAAGCAGAAAGTTTTCATCAAGCGAGGTTACAGTCGACGGCGGTGTAAATATGAGTTACAAGCCGATCGCCCCCGCACCCACCGGCTCCAACCACACTCCACCAGGTGAGTTTCATTGTTCTCTCTGTTCATTCATTTCTTTTTTACATTCATATTTTCTCCTTTTGAGGTATTTTTTGTCCATCTTTTCAAACGCTCCGTTTTAATTCTGGAGAAAGGGGTCAGTGAACTTACTGTAAAAGAGGTCAGAGACACGGATAAAGGGGGAGGAGTTAAAGGAGCCATAGCCATCTGTCTCGCTCATTACATTAATGTGGTATTTTGTGCTGCTAACTGTATCCTATCGCGATTACGTTTAAAAGCTAACTGTTTTCCTACTCATTTGTGAGTGTGCCATGCCATCACATCAGTGCATCTAATATTGGCTGTATTTTACCTCACTTCCTTTCATACAAACACTGGGTGGCGAGATATCATTGGTCGAGTTTGCCTTTTGACATTTCCTTGATTTGTGATTGGTCTTCCTCTTGCTCTCTGGTTTTAGGATCATGTGGCTCATCTCCATCACTGGCCTCCTCTTCTAACTTTAGACCAGCATTTAGTGACTTTGGTCCACCATCAATGGGCTTTGTACAAGTAAGTTAATTTTCTGATAACAGTGGGCTTTTAGATAAGTTTGCTTACTTGAAATTATTATGATAAATGCACTAAGGGTTTGTTTTATTTGTAATAAATACACTACTGGTTTGAAATGTTTGTTTGAAGTTTGAAATCATGTTTTTTTTTTTTTCCAAGTTGTTTCTTATGCTTACCAATGATGCATACATTCAATAAAAATACAGTAACATTCAATAAAAACGGTGATATTTTGAAATATTACATTAAAATAAAAAAATGTTAGATTTACATTTTTTTTTAATGTAACTTATTCTTGTGATGGCAAGGCTGAATTTTCACCAAAATATTAAGCAACAAAAACACTAATATTAAGAACCATTATTATCAATAGAGCACCAATAATTTATAAAAATTGACCACCAAATCAGCATATTACAAAGATCTCTGAAGGATCAGAAGGCGTAACGACAGCTGAAAATTCAGCTATGCCATCACAGGAATAAATTAGATTTTAAAATATATTCAAATAGTAAACTGTTATTTTAAATTATAATATTTAAAAATGTAACTGTTTGCACTGTTTTTGATTAAATAAATGCAGCCTTGGTGAGCATAAGAGACTTCATACAAAAACATGTATAAAAAATCTTAATTATTCCAAACTTTTGACTGGTAGTGTGCATATGTATATATATATATTCTATTATATATATCCACCTTATTCTTCCCGTAAAAATGGGCGCAGCCATTTGTACATTTTATGGGTCTTGCTTCAGGTCTCATTCGCTTCCAGCTATTTTTAGCTGTACAAAACAGCTCGTTTTGCTGCTTGATATTGCCGATTGGTCTGTGTTACCATATTATTTTAATGAATTATCTTAATTATGAACATACTGGTTTGTAGTGCAAACAGTTTTACCATTTACTGCACGCTGTAATTCTTCTCATTATTTTCCTATAGCAGCTAATGAACCGGAAGTCTCGCCCATAGGCTCACTTCCGTGTTGAAGAATGAGGATACACCTCATATAGAGGATTTATATTACTCCCGACATCTCTTGTTTTTTGTAGCCTGTTAAAGTGTCCCAGGGATCTACCTATAGTGAGCTGCTCTCCGTCATTGAGGAGATGAGCCGTGAAATTCGTCCTACCTATGCTGGCAGCAAAAGTGCCATGGAGAGGCTGAAGAGAGGTACTCCAAACCCTTTGGCATAAAGTGCATGCAGCACATTTAGCCCCCTGGAGTAATGTGAGCCTAAGGGCAGTTGTGATAGTTTTCAGATCTGTGCGAGATCAGACTTGCAACACTTCTTTTGTCAGCACAAAGACGTTCTTACTAAGCTACCTTTAATAGGTTGTAGTGCTTGTCACTGAAGTAAAATTAATATAGAAAAAGTGTTCAGAATATTTATAATTCCAGTAGCCATTAATTCCAGTGCAAGTAAGCCACTTATTTGTACTATAGGTAATTTCTTTAAATTATATTGTTGATTAATTATTGAAGTTGCACTACCTGTAAAAGTTGTAACTTCTAATGCCTGATATGTAATGCTTATTTTAGTGTCAATTTATTGTATACATCCAAAGACAGTATTTTACAATCTGTGCTACCTGGTTCATTAGTAAATGGCCTGTCAAACAACAAAACTACTTATAGTAGTCATTTTGCACATTAGCACTTAGTCTTATTTGGATAAATGTTTACTTGTTTGAAATGGCTGATATGTGTTTCTGTCTTTCATCAGGTATCATCCACACACGTGCTCTTGTCAGGGAGTGTCTAGCAGAGACAGAGCGAAGTGCTCGCACATAACATCCACACACACACCCTCCCTCTGGTACTTGTCTCCCCATTGTTCTGTTTCTCATAAACATGCTCCTTCGCTTTGCCAAGCTATTTACATCACATCTTTCTCTTTCTTATTGACCTTTGTCCATCATGCATAGCTATCTCCCCAATGTACACCTCATGTAGTGTTAATGTGATTAGCATATAAATTTTTTTAAGCCCAATTTTTGCAATTCTGTATTTAAATAAAAAAAAAAAAAAGTCAGATTTTCAATTCCACCGAATGCAAGAATTGCTTTTGTAAAGTGATTTTCAAATAACTTTATTTGGCTTCAGTCACAACATATGCAGAATAGTTGCAACAACACCTATTTAAAAAGCATTTTGAAAATAGCTATTTATTTGTAGTGACATATAGATATAACTGACAATTCCATTAATTAACAACACAGTGTGAGTGAATATATGTTTTTAGTTTCAATGATGGGGAAGTGGATACTTTTACATGTGCCATCACAGTGTTATTATTGTGTCTTTCACTTACATATTTCATAGGCCTTCTAATTTCCTTTTTCAATATTAAAAATGTATACATATAAAGACAATGAAGGTAATAGCAATAAAAATGAATAAACACGATAAATACAAAAGATTAACATAAAAATTGAGGGAAAGGGGGATATAGTCAAAGAAATCATATTTAACCAGACTAGCATTTTATCTTCAGATTGTCTTTCAAGTTTGGTTCGTTCAGAGTGCCCTTGTTAAAAAGCACTGACCTTAAGGAACAGGGTTCAATCTGTGACAATTTCTATCAGCTACATCCAAAGACTGAATATACAAGGTAACAAGACAGTAAGCTGGTATTTACCTCATTTCTGGTTCACAGGAGATGCAGATCCCATTAGCAACTCAAAAATGAGCACTTTTCAATAAATGATGGGTTACTCCAGGGATAACTGGATAAATTCAAGTGCATTTAAAGCTATGCACTCCTCAGTGGTGTATCAATTTACTAATAAAACATGAGGAGGTGATAAATTTATCAAGAGTGCATGTGCTCCAACTTGACAGTGGCCTAACTGCGTCCTTATAAATGTGAAATTGGACGTTCATCTTTGTTTCAGCCCTAAAACGAGAGGAAAACAGCACAGTACATTACTTAACTGAGCAGCTTTTGTTTATCAATATTCACTAATTTAGATTCTGTTTTTGAGACAGAAGACCGAACTAACCGTGGAAGCTGTAGCAGAGACTTTGCTGTTGTAGTTGAAAAGGTTTTTGTAGCGTCCCTTCTCCTCTTTCTGTTTTTCCCGAATGCGATCCTCCATTGTCCTCAACTCCTTTGCAATTGAGGTTTCAAGTGATGGTTCTAGTTCAATCACTTTGGCAAAGTCAGCTCTTGCCTCTGCTTCGTTCCATACCGCTGCATGAGCTTTCCCTCGTTTGAAATACGCCTTCACATTATCTGTGAGAAAGACAAAGAATGAGTATGGGCACCTGTATTACAATTGATAAATGTTACTCATGGTGGGAGCACGCTCATACTAAGTCTTGTTTAAAAAACAGTAGAATTATTTGTAGTTAACCTCGACTTGTTTGTAAGGAACATGATCCTAGTGCAGCTTTTTATTAACCTAAAAATGCTGTAGAAGTTAAAATAAGCTTCGTTGATATGCCTAGCTGTAATTACAGCTAGACTTGTAATCAATGAACAAAGTGGGTTATAAAAAATTTAGGCTTGGGGGTATGTGAGTGTTGTAATTGTTTTAATATTTACCATCGTACTTGTTGATGATAGAAGAGCAGTGGTCCAAAACCTCATAGTACTGGCCCAAAAGATGCTTGCACTGGCAATAGTTGAGGAGGAGAGGAGTGATCATGAGATCTAGTTTGATCCAATGGTCATCACCCGGACGCTCCTATAAACAGAGAATATGTTTATAGTAAAATTACCAGCCTTGAGGAATATAATACACTTTTGGCTAGGGCTGCACAGTAATGGTTAAACTGATAATGATTTTTTTTTTTTTGCTGAAAATATAAATCATGATTATTCATCACAATTGTTATTATTTAGGAAATTCCTAATGAGCACAAATCAAGAGAATGTCAGCTCATATGCAGTAATTATTTTACCCCCATCTAGTTTCCTGCCTTATTATACACATTAACGCTCTAAATGATGAAAACTCACAAAATATTAAAGGGGTCATATGATGTTGCTAAAAAGAACATTATTTTGTGTATTTGGTGTAATGAAATGTGTTTATGCGGTTTAAGGTTCAAAAAACACATTATTTTCCACATACTGTACATTATTGTTTCTCCTCTATGCCCTGCCTTTCTGAAACGCGTCGATTTTTACAAAGCTCATTGTTCTGAAAAGCAAGGTGTGCTGTGATTGGCCAGCTATCCAGTGTGTTGTGATTGGCCGAATACCTCAAGCGTGTGACGGAAATGTTACGCCCCTTACCATACTGTGATGATGCCGTCAGGCCGGAGCGATGATTCAAAAACATGAAAACCCATTATAAACGAGGCATTTGTTGCATCCAGTGGGGGACATAATTATGGATTATAATGACTTATACTGTCTTTTTACGTGTTGCAATGCATCACGCTGCGTAAACAAAACCATGTCTGCATTTGTGATCGGAGAAACAACAAACAACAAGCCCTACTCTACACTGCCCAAAAAAACTCGCTTTAAATATATAAAATATAAAAACTCTTTAAATATAAAAAACGTACTTACAGTCTG